TACTGTGCAATTATTAACATGGCCAACCGGAAACATTGCAAACTAACATCAAACACACATTGGCGCTGATCAGAGCTGACGGAACGTGTTTCGTTGTCGTAAAAGTAGATTGTCGGCTCGATTTCGAGCGTGGTTTCCGTGTCGGCGGGTATACGAAATGGATCCTTGTGCCAGACATAGGGTTCCGTGACCATGACATCGATGGCCTTTTCATTAACACGGCCCGGCCAGTGCTTGTCCGGCTGTATGAGCACACGCACAAACAAGGCGCTCATGGGTCCGGCGGAACCGGTGCGCCAGGGCCACAAGGGATCCAGCAGTTGCATGCGTTTGCCTTCGACGGTTTCCAGTGAATTGAAGGCCCAGCAGAGGCCGTTCTTGCTGCGCCGCTTGGAGAAGATCTCACAGCAATCGTGCGGGAATTTACGCCACTTGCAGTCGGTCAATAATTCATCGCATTTCCAGGTCATGAAGTCGACGACGTGACTGAAGTTGATGTGGCTCAGCTGGTGCGTGGGCTCGTTGCGTAGCTGCCCAAACGACTCAAAGTGGCCAAAGGACATGGCATCATAGCTACTGACGATGCGCTCAAACAGTTCCAGCTGCGCCACATCGCTGACATTGGCCATGAAACGCTGCTTGGCCAGCGGCAAACGCTGCCAATTGAGCCGATTGTGATTGCATATGGTGATGACCGGAAACGCAATACGATAGACCGGATAACGCGTGCTATCCACAACAGTTTGAAAGTTGCCATCGTTGTAGCGCTGCGACAGTATCAGGCACACATAGACGGCGCCCAGAAATGCCGCAACGAATGTGCACAGCCAGACGAAGCGTTCGGAGCGGCTGGCCTGTGCTGCCAGCAGCTTGTCCAGTCCATGGATCGTGGTGCGCTTGCCGAAGCGTATGGCCAGCTGCCAGGCGGCCTGGCCCAGCTGACGGAGCACTGCATTGCGGCGCGGCTGCACTTGCAACGAACGCGCCGGCGGTAAATATGCCAATGTCATGGCTGGTTAACAACTGAATCAGTTGCAAGCGCATTTCGACTCTTTTATAGCTCTGCGTGCGGCAATGTTCTTTTGGGATAATTAGATACTTGGCAATGTCGTGTCCACTAACGTGTTAAACGCCTATTAAACCTGTTCTGCGACAAGGCGACACACAAAGGTCAAGTCAGACAAAGCGATTGCTGTGCGGTCCCAAGAGACCTGACATGATTTGCATCAATGTATTATCTATATATGTCAGCACTCATATACATGGCCAATATGTCTGGCTAATTGGACAAACTGTTTGTCAACCCAATCGATTGCAATCAATGCCAAATGATTTGCAAACAGAGATAAACGAAAAATTTGGTTAACTAAAGACAGACAGATTTGCGTATGCTCTATTCGGCAAAGGGCATTTTATATATTAAGATATTATTTAGTAAGGATTTATGAGCAGTCAGCATAAATAAAGTTTAAAGGAAGCTAAATTCTTCTTTTCATATCACTTAAGAAACTGAAATCTTAAGGTCAACTCTAGATTGATAGAGCCAACTCTAGCTGGGTATTCAAACACTGTGGCTCTGCTGTTAGACCCTTGCTTGTAAGGGAAGAGTAATCAGCTTTAGTTTCGAATGGGCCAAAACTAGAATATAAAAGACTTGACCTACTGACATTGCAAACACAACATGTTCATCAACCAAGTGAGGAAAGTGAAACGGAATCGAGCGCGGATAGCTGCCTGGAAGCACCAACAGCAGCAACAGCAGCAGCCGAGGTGGATCTATGATTCGGATTGGATAGACCTGATCAGACGTTATTCGATTGGCTCGCATATTCATGGCTTCTATCAGCTCTTTTGGCCCACAATGCGACGACGCATGCGGTGAGTGAATTGACCTAGGTATCTACCCTCCTACAACAACAACGACAACAACAACTGCTCTGTTCTGGTGCTCAGTTTGCTGTGGAGCCTGGCGCTGCTATGTGCCCTAATCGTGCTCATCTATATTACGTATCTGCTGGCCGAGCGACATCAGCGCAAACAGTTTCATACGATCGTCGATGATTCGCATTGGCCCATTGTGAACATTGCCTTTCCGGCGATTCTGGTGTGCAACAAAAATCATCTGAACTGGTCCCGTTTGCCGGAGATCAGAGAAAGCTACAACATCAGCGATGCAGAGCTGCCTTTGGTGGAGAGAGCGCTAACGGCATTTGATGCTGTCACGACATCGCATCTGGATGTCTTTGAGAGTCTGCGGGGAGAGCCCCTAGAAACGCTCAATCATCTGAACTTCACACAGATCGTGATTGATATGGCTTGGCGCTGTGATGAATTGTTTAGAGAGTGCAGCTGGCATACGAAAGCACGGGATTGCTGTGAACTCTTCCGACCACGACGTCTGCCCCAAGGTCCCTGCTTCGCGTTCAACGAGCTGGAGAAGCGACCGAGTGCAGAGACGGGCTTGGGGACGGGCATAAGTTTTCGATTAATGCTGAATGCGGATAGGCATGCGCCGGCCAATGGGGAGTCGAAGGGTTTTGTGGTGCGTATAGCCGAGGGAATCTAGATAACTAGAAGCAGATCTAATATCCATACAAAATCCTATCGTATATTCGCTTAGCTGGATGTGGTGGAGCCAGGTGTTTGGACCGGGTTTCCCATGACTGTGCCCCCTTATGCGGACCTCAACATCGGCCTCAGTGCTGTCTACCATTTCTACGACAGCGGCACATATTCACTGGACAGCAATCAACGGGAGTGCCTGATGGACTACGAGCAGGATAGCAAACAGTTTCTCACACTGTTGGGCTTCAAGTATATGCTGGAGAATTGCCAGGCCGAATGCCAGCAGCACTATATGCTGAGCTATTGCAACTGCACGCTGGATCTGTTCTATCCGCCCTCGAATCATGCTGCCTGCAAGCTGAAGGATCTGCCCTGCCTGGCGGCCCACAATCATCTCCTGCAGAACTTTGAGCAGCCCGGCGAAAAGTCCTTTGTGGCCCAAAAGGAAGCTGGACTCATCTGCGATTGCCTGTACAACTGCAAGTCTCTGACGCTGCTAACCAATATGCGCCAAAGTGTTTTTCTGCCATGGAAAGCGGGCAATGGCAGCGATAATTCCTATTCAGAATCCAATAATCGTTCGATTTTCGTCAATTTCTACTATGACAAGGGCGTTATTCTGGTCTACAAAACTAGCCTCATATATAGCTGGATCGATTTGATTGGTAGGTGCACATTAAATCAGTAAACTTTAATGATATTATGATATATGTATATATTTTTTTGCAATCTCGATTCTTCTACAATCTATTAAAAACCTAACGGCCTTTGCTTTCAGTTTCTTTCGGTGCGATTTTTCAACTCTGTTTAGGCTGTTCGATTATTAGTCTGCTTGAGCTTTGTTTCTTTGGGCTGTTCGATGTGCCTCGTTTTTTCTGGACACGCTATGAGTCAAGACGCATTGGCTAAGATTGTTTAATAAATAAAAAATAAATGCCGGCGCTGCCCTCTTGTGCATGCTATGCATTCCATTTTTGTTTATTGCAAGTAGTTCATGGTCTGGTGCATACTGTAGAGCTCTGGACTTGGCTTGACATATGCAAAGCATTTGCTGCCAAATGTCTTTTGTTCTTTCCCATCATTCTCTGGGGCAACATTTATATTTGCTGTAAGTCCTTATATATTTTATATGTGAGCTCGAGCGGCGCATTGCTGAAACTTGCGGCTAAAGTCTTTTCAAGGATGCAATGCGAAAGCTTAAAGCACATGCAAGCAGTGCACGTCGTTGCAAGCAGTGCGATGAAAAGCTTTGTATTGCAAAGGAATTATGAAATTGAAACATGGAAATCAAGACATGGAAAAACATAGATCCTTATAACATAGAGTCAACATCATAGAACGCCGAATGTGAAATGTAGAAATTGCAAATGTAGAATGTAGAACCTAAATATAGAACAAAGTCATAGAACATCGTCACGTTCTGCACATACATAGATTAGTATAGCATTGGATTATAGCAAAATCTTAAAACATAGCCCTTACTTAAGCAGTTCAATCGAGAAACTTGTTTAATCTACTGTCCGCTGGACGAGGATGGCGCTCCATGTGTAGATTGATTAATTTCAGAACCGAAAATATTTGTTGAAATGTATAAAGTTTATATTATGATAGATATATTATTTAAGCTACTATATTTAATTACATGATTTTACTAAACAAATTCTCTGTCTTCCATGGAAAGTTCTACCACTATGTAGTAAATATAGATTTTATTATTTTATCATGCCATGGCTACTAGTATATTTTTTGACATGTGAAATTCTAAAGAAACGATTAGTCAAAATGTCTTACAAGTATTCGGAACAAATGTTCTTTTCGCCTTATCGTTGCCTAGTTCCAAAAAGTAATCCCCAAATTATAAACAATTTATGGCACTTATAGCATAGAGCCAGTTTGCGAAAAACTGATTAGCAGCATATATAAGATACCCGCGCAAGTACTACCTGCACAGCAGTCTTCGATCTGTTATCAATCAGTATTTACTATGTATTCTTCAATGAAACTCTTTGCCTGTGCGCTCATTGTTGCTCAGTTGCTGGGCTCGATTCAGTGCGGAGACTACGACAACACGGATAGATGGGTCCTCTCGGATAAGACAAAGCCTTTCCCCGAAAACGCCGTCCTGGGCGGCTATGATTCATACGGCTATGAAAACTTCGTGGGACGCCTGGCTTACTCGAGCTCGATTCTGCCAGCACGTGTTAGGGCCGAAACTGGATACGCTACCTTCAACACAGACACGTTCGCAAGTCAGGCCGCCTCCTACGAGCTATTGGTGTCCAATGAGACGGTCAGCTATGACTGGGTGCGCAGCTTCGATGGATTCTTGGAGAGGAACGCTGTATCCGTGGGCACAAGTTTTGAAAACGAGCGCGTCTACGTTTGCCGTGCCCGAACTGATGGTGGAATTTTCATTGGCACCCTGTATCTAAGCCAAAGGAAGTGCAGTATCAAGTATGAGAATTTGCCGCTAAGAGAGGTGACCAAATATGAGGTACTAGTTCGCAAAACTACTCCAGAAATATACAGACCATTCCAGATCAAAGCCACTAATGTGGTTGACCACGAAATGATTTGAATTGTAATATATTGAAAATTAATATATTAAAGATATTCTAAATATATTCAAATATATGCAATTTAAGGAACATTAAAAAGAGTTTATTTTTATTTATAACGTTAATGTAAGAAACTTTCAATATATTAACTCCTATGAAAACAAATACTTAAATTAAGTCGAATAATCAATAGAGTTCTGAAATAATCAAATAAATGGATTCAAAACTTAATCTCTTTTGTTTTGCTTAGAGGGCAGAATTCATGCATCATTTATTATCTAATTTATCGAACTATAGAGGAGCTAAAAATTAGATGCATCTGCAAAATATTGATTGTTGGTCAATAATAATACAGTAAAACTTTAAAACAAAACTTATTTCTTTATAAAC